CCGCACATGGCGAGCGGCCGACGCTGTCCCCTCTGGCCCGCAGCGGGCACGCCACCGTCACAGCGCGGCGCGCGGCGCGCAGGTACTCGCTCTTCGACCCGTGCAAGGAGATGGCCTACATTCCCCTCGACGCCGAGGCCAAGACCAAGGGCAAGGCCGCGGTCGACGTGATCGGCAGCGAGCTCCGCGCGGACCGCAGCTCCACCCGTGCGCCGGTCCTCACCGCCTCCGGTCACGAGTAGGCAACCCGCTGGGCAAGTCGGGCGGGTCGCTCCTCCAGCAGGCCATGATCTTCAGCGTCGGCTCGCTCGCCGCGTCGACGCCCTACCTCGCCGGCTGCCTCTTCGTGATCATCGCCGTGTGGCTCCGCGCCGCGCGGTCGCTCAACACCCAGTTCACCGCCGCAATGGCTGAGGAGGGGGCCGAGGCTTGAGCGAAGGGGGTCGTCTGCCCGCTGGAAGCACGAGCGCTTAGCACGCGACCGCTGAGTACTCGCTCGCGCCAAACCCCGGGCCGAGTGCGTGCACGCATATACCCACCTCCGCCCTTGGTTTATATCCACCTCCGGCGGCCGGCGCGGGCGGCGCGGCGCGCGGCGGATCCATCTGTGGCGGAAAAAGAGTTTTCAGTTTAACTCTGAGAAAACACTCACCACCAACACCGCACTCTCACAGCTGCACGTAGACGTACGACGCTGACACGCTCGCCCCGGCACCACTGCTGTGGGTGTGGAGCTGCCCTGCTACGTGCTAGCATCTCTGGAACGTGCGGTCCCCCTGCACCCTAGGCGACTGCTGCCGTGCTGCTAATACGCAGTCAGTGCGTGTCTCGGTATTACCTAAGGATGACCAATAGACGCCATCTAGCCACGTCAGTACGCGTCCTCGCTCGCATCGAAGCTCCAGGTCTCGTCAAACGGCTCCGCCTCTCCACAAAATGAGAGTCGGATGGGTGGCGGTTTGATCGGGTGGAACTCGGCCTGGTTGGCGATGCTGGCTTTCATCAAGCACCTGCAGACGAAGCTGCGCAGCGCACGACGGTCCTCAACACCCGGGTCCGTCTCGCTCACACCCACGATCAGGTGCTGCGCCGACCGCACAGTGTGCTTGATCGGGCGCAGGTGGAGCTGCACAAAGGCGGGGACGGCTGCGAGCATCGAGAGGGGGTTGTAGACGTGAAGCGACTCGATGTAAGGCCATATGTCCTCCTGTGGGGCGGAGAGTGTGCAGTCACGTGCGAAAAGTGTGGTCGAACTGCTTGCTTGGGGGGGTGCAGCAGCGCTAGCGCCACACCGTATCGTGCAAGTTGATGTCTGCCGAGCGGCAAAATGTTTTTAGGAACCAGCTCCGGTCGCATCGGTCGGCGAGCGAGCCTCGCGCCGAGTCGCCCAGCGGAGCGCACGCCTGCTGCCATAGCAGCCGCGTGCTGCTCCGCTGCTCCTCGGCCAGCTCTGCCCCGAGCGATCCGCAGTGCTCCAGGAGCATGTCGAAGAGCTGCCGCGGCAGACGGCAGGCGTGCGCCACGTGTCGGGAGAGGATGACGAGCGGCACCGACATCTCCTGCGCGCAGTGGTACATTGCCCTCGCCGCCTCGAGATCGACCCGGTTGTTGGCCGCTGCCGGGTCGGGTCCGAGCACGGTCTGCCCCGTCAGTATGCTCTTGCTGCCCACAGTGACCCGGCCCGCCTCTAGCAGAGCGCCGCCAAGGTGGATGATCCGCGCCGTCTTGTCGCGGAAGAGCTGTGGGTGCCGCTCGGCAAAGCCGGCCACGCCCGTGCAGGCCGCCGCAATAATGAGGGTCACCCCGATGGGTGGCGCGTCCAGGTACAACGCCGTTAGGTGTTCCTCGAGGGGGGCCATGCCGTCGTCTTCGCCCCGCTGCGGCTCGCCGCCGTCCCCATCCTTCGTGATCGCACGCGCGACGAGGAGCGGCACGTGGCCAAGTCCTGTCCTGCGGAGCGTCGTTCGCACCAGCTCCACCTATAGGGTACAAGCAAGCTGCAGTCCGCCCCGGCCGCGCAGCACCGGCCGCCTAGCACCGGGCGACAGGGTGGCCTGCTGCATCACGGGCTCGCGCGCGTCGGTCCCGACATCGCTCGTCAGTGAGAGAACAAAGGCGTGGATGGTGATTTCGCCGCGGTCCCACAGCGCCCGGAGCATGAGGATGGATAGGCGCGTGTCAATGACGAGCTGCTTCTCGTTGATCTTGTTGATCCCGCGCTGGAACCCATTCGGGTGGCATTGGAGGCAGATGAGCACATGCGACTTTGGCTGGTGGTTGATCAGGAGGCCCTGGCAGTACCCCTCACGGAGCATGCTCTGCACCGCCTCCGGGGACCGCACGTCGGGGCTCTCCTCTGCGCGGCCGATGACAGTGTGGGTGGTGCCGTGGATGGTGTGGGGATGGCCCGCGAAGAAGCGCTCGCGGAGGGTGGGGACTGCGGCGAGCAGCGCCATCGTGTCGTACTGCATAAATCCCTGAATGAGATCCCAGATCGGACCCGAGCTGGAGCGGCCCTCTCCATCGGCTCCGTCGCAGAAGCTGTCCAGGAACCAAGCGCGATCGCACCGCTCGGGGAGGCCTCGCCGCGCGCTCCCAACGGCGCACGAACGCTCCCACAACTCCTCGATGCTCGTCCGCTGCGCGTGTCTGAGCCGCCACGCAATCGCCGAGCCCGTGAGTGCCAGCTCGTCATAAACCTGGCGCGGCATCTTGCAGGCATACGCCGCCCACCGAGAGACGCAGACGAGCGGCACGCCCATCGCCTGGCAGCGCTCAAAGAGGTGTTGCGCGGACTCGACGTCAAAGGCGTGGTTGTTGGACGAGTCTGGCTCGAGTGGGCCGGAACCTGGGCCGAAGTTCTGAACCCCTCCCATGATGACCACCTCCTTCGTCTTGGACATGAAGACTGACTACAGTTCCGAAAGGTCCTCTGTTTCTCTCTCTTCTCTCACTCTAGCTCTCATCCTCGTCCTGCAGCGGTGGCGCGCCTCGTTGTCACGGCAGAAGAGCGAAGCGTCCTTGCTCGAGGCGACAATGAGGAGGACAAGCGACTTCATGTCCGCCTCCTCGTAAATCTTGTGGAGCAGCATCCGCGCCGGCTGAGGCCAACAGGGCAGAGCGCGCCGGCTGAGGCCAACAGGGCAGAGGGCCATCCTTGCGGCGCCCACATATCTCAGCATCGCGCTGCATCGCATTTGAATCTTGGTTGCGTGTAGTCTGCGTGTAGGCCGCGTGTAGACTGCACCCAGGATCCTTCTCAGCTACGTCATGGCTGCGTGTCAGGCGTTCCGCGCCTGCATGTCGAGTACCGACTCATGCAGCGCTCCGGGGATGTACGTTGAGGCGGACTCCTCGAAGGGCTGGGCGGTGTGATTGCCATTCATATCGCCGCCGTCGCTGCCGATACCGACTGGTACACCGTGCATACCAAGCAGATCGAGCATGCCACGCAGCAGTCGCGCGCGGTCGAAGGCCGGCTCGAGCGTCGCGATGATTCCACGCACAGTGATGTCTCCCCGGTCGAGGAGGTGCCGCATCATGATGATCGACATCTCGTCGTCGAGATCCTGGCCTGAAGCAGCAGGACCAGGACCATCGGGGGGGGAGCCGTGTGTGCTCCGACTCCAATCAGTTGTGCGGGTATGGGGAGTGCTAGCCGGGCTAGCACTGGCGCTGACCCGGGTCTGTGATCACGACCAGCGGCACTGGCTCTGGCCTCTCCTCCTCCTCCTCGACGGTGGACATGGACGGGCGCGTCACGTCGCTTGACAGCGTCGCGGACGAACCGCCCAAGCTCGCGGACGAGATGCTGCCTAGGCGCTTGGCTGACACAGACCTGCGTGCCCGGTGTCCGCTGTCGAACGCCCTGCTCTGACCAATAGGCTGCGAGGTGGCTTTGCGCAAGGGCGGCTCCGACAAGCTCTCCGCGGCGAATCCCTGGGGATCACGCGAGGCGCCACCGAACGGTCTGCTCCCTAGCCTCTCCACTGCCGCTCTCTGCTCGTCTACCGTCATCGTGAGCTCCTCCAAACGTGCCTGCATTGCCTGGATTGTGCTAGCCAACCACCAGACAGCGACTGCGCAGCCGGCCAGCCCAGCGGCTGCGACCCAGCCACCACTGATGGGGGCAGCATGTTGGTAAAGGTCGGGCATGCTCCCGCTGCCTGACCGGGCAGCGGACCCGGCCAGCGGGCGCGTGCGTTTAGGAGTTGAGGATCCCCCCCAGGCATTGGCCGGCGAAACTCGGTGACTCACGGATCTGCATCTGTGTTTCTCCTTTCACTTGAAGGTATATTGTTGGCAAATCAAGACACAGAGTTCACTGAGTTTCGAATTGGGCGGCACACGCCACGAATGGACCGCGGGCCGCAGTTAGACACGGCAGCGCCGCACGCTGTTGTGGGCTTCCATCCATGGACAATACGAGGGAACTCGGGTGGATGTTGGCATGAGACATGCCAAGAGGGCCTCCTGCTGTGGCGCCCACGGGCGCCAGGTAAGGTAAGGTAAGGTAGATTTCTCCACACACACAAAGTGGTGGGGCAAGGGGGGGCGACCCTCGCATCTCCACGCCCGGACACGGGCAGGAGCCCCACGGCATTCAAAGTGCAAGCACTGGCCCGGTGCACGTGGGTGAGCAGCCTGCCCCTCCCTGCCTCCCGACAAACCAACTCCCGCACACACGGGCGCCACGACAAGCGGGGGGTTCAAGTGTGAGTGAGCGATCGATGACCGGGAGAGAGACGTCAGTTCCGTCAGACGAGCCGCTCTCTCTTGGCAAGTTGGGGTCTTGGTCTTGCCTGTGACGGCTAGCTGAGTTGCCAGGAGCCACGACCCGCTGAAACCCGTTTTTACACACTCAAATGACTGTCCGCCCCGCACCTCAGAGCGCGGCGCGGTAGATCCTCTCCGCGTCGTCGAGATGCACCTCGCGCGGGTTATTCGGCAGCAGTCGCGTTTGCAACATCGCGTTCGCCGCGAGGCTGCCGATGTCCGCCTCGGCAACACCAACCTCGCGGAGAGTGGTGGGGAGCCCCAGCTCCGCAGGTAAACACGCGAAGTGGTCCACAAACGCGCCTAGATCAATCGCGCCGCGCTCATGGCAGTGGCGACTTCTTTGCCTTGCCGCCCGCTGCTGCTCCTCGCGAGCCTGCCGCCACAGCCGCCGAGGCGGCGCACTCACCGAGCTGGCGCGAGCAGACAATGGGCGCGAGCTCTGCGTACAAGCTGGTCGCCTGCGGCGGGACCACGGCGTGGGAGGCGGTGAGCGGGGTGGTAGGGGGTGGCGGCCGGGCGATTCTGGGAGGGCTATAGTGCAACCCCTTCTTCCGGGAGGCGATGGGTCAGCGCGGTGCGGGTGGCGGCGCGCAGCGTGTAGGAGCCGGCGGTGCAGCCACACCAGACGCACCTGCTCGGAGCGCGCGTTGAAGTCGAGGACGTGCGGGAGCATCAGCGAGTTTGAGAGTCCGTGCGGGACCTGCGCGCGGGCAGGAGGTGTGCGGTGGCCTCTCTTTTGTTGCGCACCTCCTGGCGTCTGGCGAGGTGCCACCGTGCGGCGGCGAGGGCGGTGCGGGCGGCGGGGACGAGGGCGGCGGATACGATGGAGGTGGCGGCGAGAAGTGGGGTGGGCGGCGAGGGTGGTGGTGGCAAAGGGGGGGGGGGGGTTAGTGCCCTGGCCTGGTATCCGCCTCCCCTTCCCATGACCTTACCTCTGGCCTTACCCCTCTCGGAAGACCTCCGGCCCTTTAGGGAAGCCCGAAGCATCTTTTCAACTCTTTTTTTCACTCTCTCTCTCTCTCTCTCTCTCTCTCTCTGTCTCCGTCTCCGTCTCTCTATCCCTCTGTCTCTCTGTCTCTCTGTCTCTCTGTCTCTCTCTCTCTCTCTCTCTCTCTCTCTCTCTGTGTGTGTGTGTGTGTGTCTGTGTGTGTGTGTGTGAGTGTGTGTGTTGTGTGACCTCGATTGCGTGCACCATCGCGTCGATGCCTGTGGGACACGTCCGGACATTTCATGGACATGTCCTGGACTCAGCCCGGGCGGGCGGCGGGCAGACGCCGGTCGCTGCGGCCACGTGCGGCGGCAAGCTCGCCGTGAGCTCGCCATCGAGGACCGCCAGGTCAGGCAGCAGCTGGGGCGACACCACCCCTTGCTTCGTGCCAGGCGCTGTCGTGATGATTGCGATCGGGGTCACCTCTGAGCCGGTGCCGGCCGTGGTTGGGACCTGGACGAGCGGAAGCCGCGCCGCCCGCACGTTGCCGACGCCAAACATGTCGTCCAGAGGTTGGGTGCAGCCCGGGCTGGCGAGCAGTGCGACCAACTTGGCGATGTCCATCGATGAGCCGCCGCCGAACCCTACCACACCGTCAGCTCTCATCGCGCGCGCCTGGCCGGCGGCGGCATGGACCTGATCGGCGGGTGGGTCGGCGACCGTCTCGTCATACACCTCGAAGGCGACCTGCGACCGCCGCAACGACTCAGCCGCACCGTCGAGGATGCCAGCCGCGAGCACGCCACGGTCAGTCACAATGAGCGGCCGCTGGACGCCGAGGCCGCTCAGATGCTCGGCCAGCCTTGACGCAGAGCCCAGGCCCGCCGTTAAGGCTCTGGTGGCGGTGAATCCCCACGGGGAGCTCATCCTGGAAGGCCGCAACTTCGAGTCGCGCCAAAGAAGAAAACTTGAGTCCGTGTTGATTTAGCCCACGCGCCTCTGCTCGCAAACACTCACCCATTTGATTGTCGCTGTCCGTGAGTGCGAGATTAGGGCTAGCCGCAGGCAGCTAGCCCATGAGGAGGGCGTCCATAGACACCTCACTAGACCCCACATACGGTCTCGTCCGTGCCTTGGTGCTGCTTCTTGTTGCTGACGTAATGATTGAAGAGGTTGCTCCGTTGGTTGCCTCCCGTGACGATGACGCACGCAAGTTTGTCGCACGCCACGCACTTGGTGAGCGCCGAGGAGGCCAATTCGGCGTCGGTCGCGTTGGGGTGCTTATCCGTAAAGTGTCGAAGAAGTCGGGCCGCCGAGCTCTGGTTATTTCCAAAGTCGAGTTCGCAAACGAGGCACTTGAACTTGATGTATGAAAACAAACGCAAGGCGGACATGGCATATCGCTCTCGGGCTCACAGACATCCCTCACACCCGCCGCCCCCGCGCGCGCCCCACCCCGGCCGGGAGAAAGGGGAGTGACAGTTTGGGATGGCAACAGCCCGAGTATGTTGAGTCCTGGCTCAACACTGCGCGAGCGCGGGTGGCCCCCTCCCCGCCCTTGGGCTTGGCCGCGGGGCGGACGACCGGACCGCGGCTTGGCGCGGCGAGCGAGGCCGACCACGGGGATGGGGGCCGGTGAGGATGGATAGCGTTCGTGTTGTTGGGCTCATGAACGGGAGGGCGGCACCCCCCGGTGGCGCTCCGGCCGGTGTGCGCTTGGGCACGTGCTGTTGGATTCGGGTACTTTGCTGGTATGGTATCTGTAAATAAGTGGAGTATTTACTTTCACACCCCTTGGGGTGTTCACGACCACTTGCGGTCATTACGCACTTGTGCGTTCACGCCCCTTGCGGCGATCGTTTCACAGTCTCATCAACGTCCAAGGAAACTAAATACCCGCCTCACGTGGCCGCGAGCACGTTCGGCCAGCACACGCCAATGATGCTGCCCAGCCTGGTGGTCGTGCTCGCCGGTTCCTCCTCCACGCCACAGAGGCGGCGGCTCGACGTGCTATTCGAAGTGCTCTCGCGCACGCACGGCGGCCCTAGCTTCATCAGCCGCTCAGACCTGCTCCTGCTGCGCGCTGCAGCGGCCCGGCGCTTCGAGGCTGCCCCACGCGAGGGCGAAGAGGCGCGTTTTACGGACGCGTGCGAGTGGGTCATGAGCCAGCTGGATGATCCCCACGCCAGCTTCCTCCCGCCCGAACGCGCCGAGGCCTTGAGCAGCCGCTACCACGGCCAGCTCGACCTCGGCGTGCGCACAACCCACGAACCGCTCGAGAGCCGGGCAAAGGGCGGGTGGCGCGCCCTGCGGCTGCCGCCGCGCAAGGCGCAGCCGCAGGCCGTGCGCACCATCGTCAGTGCCGTGGCCGAGCGCTCTCCGGCAGCGCTCGCGGGCTTGCGCGTCGGCGACGAGGTGCTCGAGGTGGCGGGGAAGGCTTTGGCAGCGAGCGGCGGCCCGGAGGCGGACGCGCTGCTGCAGGCGGAAGAGAACGAGCGCGTGCCGATGCTGGTCCGACGCGCGGGCTGCCGCGCCCCCATCCACCTCTCCCTGCGGTGCGCGCTGCTCCCTCCTCCCTCCGTCTCCTCGCGCACCGTGCGGCTGCCTGCGCGCGCAGCCGCCTCTGCCGCCCCGGGGCAGCCGGGCGGGCGCAGCGAGGGAGGGGGGCACGCTGCCGTCCTGCGCATCCACCATTTCGGCGCGGGCACTGCCGCCGAGCTCTGCAGCGAGCTGCGCAAGCTGCGCGCGCGAGTGGACGGCAGCGGCAGCGGCGGAGGCGGCGCGGGCGAGCCTGTGCGCGGCGGTGACAGCGGCAGCGACGGCGCCGGTGCGCTAGACCTGCCACTAGACCTGCGGGCCGTGCTCTTCGACTTGCGCGACAACGACGGCGGGTTGTTGTCCGCGTCGGTGGCGAGTGCTCGCAGCTTGCTCCCGCGAGGTCCCGCACCGCGAGTAGATGCGGGACGCAGAGGGCGACCCTTCTAGGAGCCTTCTAGGAGCCTTCTAGGAGCCTTCTACGAACCTTCTAGGAACCTTCTAGGACGCAGAGGCTGTGCGTCTCCCGACTCGCACTAGAGAACACGCGCGTTTAGCTCCACTCCGCTGCGCCTCGCTGTACTCCCCATATCTCCCCATATCTCCCCACATCTCCGCTGCACCTCGCTGCACACGTGGCCGATGTCTTCACGCGGCGCCCTGAACGCGCGCCGCACGAGACCGCGCCCTCGCCCTGACTTGCGTGTCTTCACAGCGCAGGCGCCCACGGCCTCTCCCTCCCTCCTAGGAACCTTTTGGAGCCTTCTCCTACAGGCGCCCACGTCCTCTCCCTCCAAAAGAGGCGGCGCGGCTCTCTGCGGACAGTGCGCTCCTTCCCGCCGCCAGGCCTCTCCCTCGTGCCGCTATGGTACACCAGCCGCTGATTGAACTGGCGGTAGGTGCGCTCCTTCCGCCGCCGCTGGTACCACCGCGCCTCCCCTCTCGGCTCGTGCCGGCGGGGTGGCGGCCGCCCTGCCTTGCCCGACGGCACGGCGGGGGGCGCCCTCGGCAGCGGGTCCTTCGGCTGCGGGGTCCCCGTCATCGTGCTCGTCAACCAGCAGGCGCTATCTCCCCATATCTCCCCATATCTCCCCATATCTCCCCATATCTCCCCGTCCTCGTCCTCGTCACCCAGCAGACGGCGTCCGCCGCCGAGATCTTCGCGGCGGCGCTCGCGCATGCGGGCAACGCGCTCGTCCTCGGCACGCAGACCTTCGGCAAGGGCACCTCGCAGGCGTTCGTCCACCTCCCGGGTGGCCACGGCCTCACCTTCACGGTCTACTCGCTCGCCGCCGGCGCGGCGAGCGCGTCGCACCCCCTGAACGACGGCGTCGCGCCGCACGTACGCTGGCAGTGGTGGTCCGCCGTGAGCACCGCCACGGCAGCCGCGGACCGCGAGATCGCGCTCGCCGCCGACGCGGCACTGCGCGCAACCTCTTGCTCAGCGGCAGCGTGATCGCTCATCTCAGTCTCTCTTCTCCGCTCCTACAACACCGCGCTATGAACTAGATGTTCTGCGCGCTCTCCGCCATTATTCGTGCGGTATTGATGCTCACGCTGAGAAAAAATCTGAAACGGCGTGCCAGCAGAGTCACCAACGAGTCGGTGTCCGCGTGACTCCTCGTGTCCCGCACCGCGTTCTCACAGAAGCAAGCCCTCAATCCTGAATCCTCAGATTTTAGATTTGGACGCTGTCGTGTCTCTCTACCCCCTACAGCTACAGGCCTACACGCGGCGGCCCCGCTGCACGCTCGGCTCGCACGCCGTGGGCGTGCGCGTGGCCGTGGGGCGTGGCGTTTGATGGGGACACCTTGTCTTTCCCCGTTTTCGGCAACACTGTGAACGAATCTCTGCCACACCCAGATCACGATTAGACATTCTAGGCCTGTGACACCATCGGCCGTTCGGGGTGGAACGCGTACTGGGCACGTGTTGCGGGATCGTCCATCGTCGCACCGCGCCCTGGTCTCTGCTAGCTGCAGCTCGCGCAAACACGCTCCTGTCTGCCAGCTTTTCTCCGCTTCTGCACATTGGATGCGCGCACGCACAGCACGCACAGCACGCGCGGGCGATTCACAAAGAGGGCGTCTTGCGCGGGGTCGTTGCTGCGCACGCCATCTCTCGTCGCCGCTCCTTCATCGCCTCGCGCTGTGCAGTCTTGGCCGCCTTTGCCTCCGCCGCGCGCGAAACCCGCGGTGTGGCTGGCTCACTGCGGCCGCCGCCCCCGCCGACCCCGCTGCTGCCTCCGCCACTGCTGCCGCCGCCCCCGCTGCTACCGCCCCCGCCGCTGCTCTCTCCGCCGCCGCCCTCGAGGCGGAAGCCTAGATGGCGGAACCGGGACCGCGGGTGAGTCCTTGCGCGCCGATGCAGCGCCGCCGCCCTCTCGAGGGGCGCGCCTTTCTTGGAGGTAAACTTAGGGGTGACGGGCAGCGGTCGCGCCTTGAGCCGCCCCCCTTGCACCACCCCGCCCGAGCCAAACATTCGGTTGCCGATGGCGCGCCGGCTCTGCCTGCCGAGCGCGGCCCGCTCCTACGGGACATGTCTCGGACATGTCATGGACGTGTCCCGGACGTGTCTCTGCCTGCCGAGAGCGGCCCGCTCCTGCATCTCGAGGTAGTACATCTGCTCCTCCTCCTCGTCGCGCCGGCCGCTAAACTCGTACTGCAGAAACTCGTGGTACTCGTCCTCGTCGTCCACCGGCTGGGGGGAGTACTCGCTCGACACGGCCTTGCGGAACCAGACGGCGCAGCTGTGAATAGTCGAGCTGTGAACAGTGCAGCTGTGAATAGGAGCACCTTGCGGAACCAGACGGCGCGGTGCAGCAGGGAGAGGGACTCCTCGCGCAAATAGTCGTTGTACGACCCGTCCAGCTGCTTGTACATCCACAGGTGCGAGAAGCCGACCTGGCAGAGCGGGCACTTTGGCTTCTGCAGCGCCCAGTTGAGGATGCAGCCGCAGCAGAAGGGGTGGTCGCATCCTTGCACAAGCGCGACTTCCAGCGGCGCGATGTTGCCATGGCAAATCGCGCACAGCACCCCCTCCTCCTCCTCGCCCCCCTCCTCCTCCCTGATCTGGTTGGGAGGGGAGGCACAGGCCAGAGAGGCCGCCGCGGTGAGGACATTCATGCCACAAGGCCCCACAGCAAGTAACAAATATACAGTGTCGAGCTTCACAGATTCTGGGCTGTGTCTGAGAACTGGTCTCGGGCAAAATCTGAGGCAGAATCGAGGAAACCGGCCAAATACCGGGTATTTTCCAGGCATACCCGGGGTTTTCAGCACCGACTACCCCCCCCCCCCCT